TCTGAATTGGGATAATTGGACCTCTTCTCCTTATCTTTTTTAGCCGCTCGGATCTTTTGTGGTTTGCTTGTTTTTGGTTTAGGCCTCTTTTTTTTGAGGTCTTTTTGGTCTTGTTCCCTTATGTTCTTGTTTCGTTGTATTGGACTCTTGTATCTGCTTGCGTCTAGCTTCTTGCTGGATCCGTTTTTTATCTATTGGTTGGCTTGGTGAGGGTGATGGACATGCCGAAGCTCTCTTCCTTGTCCTTCCTTTTTGCCTTTCAAAAAAAAAAAGTAAATGATAGTATTAAATTTTGCTGATAAATTCTTATCCAGATAAGCGTTTGATAAAAAACCAGTTAGAAAAAATAAAAAGTTTTAAAGAAAACAAAATTTGTTTTATAATCTTCTATCATAAATATTAAATTGAAGTGAAAAAAACAGTGGGAGCATGCGGTTAAAGACATGTGGAATAGAGAATGACATGTGGTGTAAACTTATTGGGTGAATCCTTAAATGATTATTCTTCAAATAATTATATTATCAATCTATATTTTTTTTTAAATGTAACTAACAACATTAATTATTTCAGGGGTTATTTGTTTACATCTTAATAGTTCCATTAAAAAACATCTGAATCGTTAAGAGGTAAATCTTGTTTGACAAAAAAAAAGTTTGTCTGCTAATGGTTCTAAAACCCTCTGAATGATTTTGTATCATAGGTCTCCTTTAACCATTCAACGGTCTAATTTCATTGTAAACAATTACCAAATAATTATATTTCATTTTGCATTATATCATGAGAACCTCTTAATCATTCTGTACCAAACCATTCAGCAACTGTCAAACAACCCATAACTTTTTTTTTTACTGAATTTTACTCTAAAATGTTTTATAAATATATAAATTGTTAGATTATACAGTTTTGGTATAATATTTATATAAACCAGATAATTATTGATCTTATAAACTCAAAAGTCAAATGAAACACTTTATAACGAGATAATATAAATTGTAGAGTTCAAATTATGTACATAAACATTGTTAGTTTCTCAAAAACAGTGTTATTTGATTGGATGGTTTATTGATCTAAAATATTACATGTTGTAGTAGATATGTTCAAATTAAACAAGAAGTTAATTAATAAAAGACAAAACATTTCCACTTTTATGTTTAGGACAAGTGAAAAATGGAAACAAATCATACCCACAACCTACAATTAATTATTGATTCAACCATCTAAATTTACTTAACAAAAATCATACACACATAATATACATACATATATATATATATATATATACTTGGAATCATGTGAGACTAGTATGTTTTCGTAAGACCATTTTTTTACAACTTGAAACTCCACATCAATATGTTATGAAGGTAACCGTCACAATATTTTTGCTATGAAGGTTTGGTTTTTTTTTTACATTTACAACGTTTTGCTGTGAAGTTTCAAGTGTAAAATAATGGTCTTGCGGGTCTCATGAAAACAAGCTGGTCTCACGTGATATCAAGTCTCTCTCGGGTTGGGATCACGTGAGACCAAAAGTTTTTTGTGAGATCCGTAAGACCAATTTATGTTCGTTGATCAATTTTATAAGCTAATGATCTAATGGTTTAGAACGGTAACAATTTTGTGATTATTAAGAAGTCTCGTGACAATTTTGTGATTATGAATGTTCAAATTGTAGATCTAATCCAAGGGTTGAAAATTGGTCTTACGGGTTTCACGAAAAAATCTGGGTCTCACATGATCCCAAGTCTATATATATATAACTTGAAATTACATAAGACCAGCCTGTTTTTGTGTGACCCTTAAGATCATTTTTTTACACTTGAAATTTTACAGCAAAACGTTGTGAATGTAACCTTCACAATATTTTTGCTATGAAGGTTCGATTTTTTTTTTTTTACCTTCAAAGCGTTTTGTTGTGAAATTCCAAGTGTAAAATAGTAGTCTCACGAAAGCTTGAGACCGATTAGGACCGGCCCGGGACCGGTTTTTGGTCATCACTAATCCAACCCGCTATGCGAACCGACTAATCCCAGGACAACCATCTGCTTTGCAGGTAGCCTGAAGTCACCACATTTGAACCTCCATGGCCACAAGAGGATTTTTATTCCTCCTTGGATTTGAACCTGTGACCTCTATGTACTTTTAACCTTTGGAGTCAAGCTCAAACCAATCAGACATCACCCTTGTAGTTAGAGTTTGTAGTTTAAATATACAAAAAAATAAAATAAATGAAAACCCATATATATGATTTTATTACATGGTTCTCTTTTTATAAACGAGGTTTGATATATTTTCTATAAAAACAATCCATCGAGTGTTTTGTAAAATTAGGGTTGTTTACCTAAATGCTTACCCAGTAACTGCTTATCGTTAGGATTCAACAATATAATTTATTTTACTGGGTAAAATTGACTCATGCAACAATTTACCTGGTAAGCAGTTAACCGAGTAAGAGTCGTCACCCTCACTTACCGGGTAAGACTCTTCATCCTTATCATCGTTCTTAACGGGTAAGATTTTTGACCCTTGTCATGTTCATCCGGTAATAAAAATTATTCAATAAATATTTACCGGATAAGTGTCTAGTAAACAGTCTATCAGGGAATATAATTTTAAAAATAAAAAAATGGTGGGTTGTAAAAATATGAATAGTTTAGAAGTGAAATGCATGGAACCTAAGCGTAGGTGTATTGGAGCCGATTTCATCATTTTCGATTAAAACACAGGGTGAGGGGTCAAAGTTTCAGACTTTTTAGACTCTATTTTTTTATGTTTTTCACACCAGCTTTTTGTGAAAAAGACACACAAACCCTCCAAACCTTTTTTCCTTTATTTGAAAATATATACATTAAATACAAGCGTCCTATCAAAGATGTGTTTATAGAATACTTCAAAATACATTTTAAAAAACGTCTTATAAAACTATTTCAATACGATGTATATCCGTTTAATGTTATAAAGTTTAAATGATATTAAGGGGGTGTTTGAGATTGTTTATTAGAAACAACTTATGGTTTTTCTACAAAAGCACTTATCAACTTATTATAAGTCAGAAAGGTTTAACTTTTTCAAAAACTTCTTATCACCGGTTTGACACCGATACAAGTTGTTTATCCAAACACTCAAAAATGTTTATTACCGATGACACACCGAAATAAATCAATAAACTGTTTTTTATAAGCAATCCGCTAAACTCACTACAACAAAATGGGGTTTATAGAACACTCCCAATTTCTAAGCGTCTTAATAGACATTTTTATAAGACTTAGTATATAGGACCAAAAAAATAAAGTGTCCTATTTAAAGATGTTGTAATAAGTTTATATGACGTTTTTTTGATGTCGTAATAAGTTTTTTAGGACACTTGTACTATAAAGTTTCCCATTAGCAACTTTATAGGACACTATTTGAAAAATTATCCTATAAAAACAAATGTCCTATAAAAACTTAAGTTTATAGGACATTTTTTAGAAAGTGTCATATAAAGTTGCTAATACGACACTTTGTATTAGAAATGTCTTAAAAACTTGTTAAAACTTTCAAAAGTGTCATATAAACTTATTACAATACATTTAGATATGACGCTTTATATTTTGGTTCTATAAATTAAATCCTATAAAATAGTCTATTAAAATGTTTAAAGATTAGGGATGTCCTATAAACTCAATTTTATTGTAGTTAACGTAACTAGACACAATTTTACTACAAGGAATCTTTTGGTGAGTACACTTCTACTTTCATGTAATGATTACTTAAAAAAGTGAAAACCAAAATTATAATTAAAATTTTATGAGAAGATCCAAGAAAGTGTATTTTTTTATAATTAATTAAAATAATTATATACTTTTTTTAAGATTAAAAATTAATAATTTAATAAATTAATTATGATAGTAATCCAAGGTTTCAAAGAGCCACCTTCTCTTTCCCTATATATATTCATGCTTCTCCTCCACTTGGTGTTAACTCCATGTACTACCAAACCATTCATAAATCCTAGAGAGAGAAAGTGAAGAAATTCTAGAGAGAGAAACCTGCAACTCATCATCATCATGGAATTCCACCATGGCCATGGATTCTTGGAGGAGGAGATACTACTGGATTCCAACAACAACGCCTTCCCTTTTGGAATGAATGATATCGATCACTTTGACCAAAATACCCTTTCCATCACCTCCCAGACCTCTTCTTCCTTTGAAGACTTCTCCTCCTCTTTGCCATTCATCTTTGACCAGCAAACCCTAAATTGTTCATCGTTTGGTCAACAACATTTCCTCAACCCTTTCATTGACCATGACAAATTACTGTTCTCTCCTTACGACAACACTACTACTGTTACTGCCGGCAACATCAAGCTTGAATCATCGCCATTGTTTGATCAAGATGATTACTCTGTGCTGTCTTCATTGTTGGATGATGTCCAAAACTGTCATTTTGTACATGATCATGTGGGGAATCGGGTAATCCCCGACCCGAAAGTGCATGAGGTGGAGGAAGAGAGAAGGTACGGATCCGGATCCGGATCCGTATCGGGATTCAACATGGGGAAGAGTGGTAAAGCCTCTAAAGTCGAAGGGCAGCCATCGAAGAATCTAATGGCGGAAAGAAGGAGAAGGAAAAGGTTGAATGATAGACTTTCCATGCTTCGATCGGTTGTACCAAAAATCAGCAAGGTACAACTCTCGTATTTTTCTATTCATTTTACCTTCTTCTTAAACTATATAACCTTGACTCACCTTTCGGTTAACCGGTTCGGTTCGGTAAACTCGAACCGGTGATTTCTTGAAAACAAACCCTAGATCTTACTGATTGATCTATCGTTACAACAAAAATCGGGTTTATATGACGTCATAAATGTTCAAGCGTGTTAATCGGCTAATTCACGAGATTTTAAGTTTATAGAATGTTTTAAGACGTACTAAACCGACACCCTTTTCAAATAGAGCGTGTTTTATGAAAACAAGTGTCATGTGAAAATACGTACTCATATGACATTTTTCTCGTAAACCGTTCTTCATACGATTTTATTTTAAAAAATATAATATAACTTATTGCAACACTTTTATATCGTCACACCGTTATTTTGACATTTTTATATTCTATAAATTCCATTTTTACCGTAATGGTTCATTTTAGCTTTAATTTTGAAAAATATTAAATTCCGGTATTTCGTTTCAAGAACGTGTGATACCTAAAACGACGTCTTTTTTTTGCCCTTTTTGTCTAAAAACCCTAAGATATCGTTGTTCTTTTATCGGAAAAAATCAAAACAACGTTGTTTTATATATTGTACGCTACAAATATACGAATAGTTGCATTTACGATACATAAAATGGCGTAAAAAATTCCATTTGAGCGACGATTGATGCTTACGGTTTTGTAAATGTTAATTCGTCGTAATGTATACCATCCAAAATAATTAATATTACATTTGACTCGACACATAATTTAAAATAGATATGTAACAATCATTTTGTTCTTTACTAAAATTAGAGTATGTCGATGAAGAGAGAATGTGTATTAAGGTGTGAAATGTAAGAAGGAATTGAGATGCACTGAAATGAACCGGATCAATCTCTGTATCAAGCGCGATTTACAAGGGGATTTTAGATTAAAGTGATCAAGGATGCAAATCTTTTCTTACGTTTCTCACCTTAACTCTCTCTCATATATATATATATATATATATATATATATATGTTTGTGTGTATAAATCTTTCTTATCCTTCTCATCATAACTTACATTCTCACCGAAATCGAATCTTATATATGTGTGTATATGTATGTGTATGTATATATACATGTATATAAATATTTTGATGAACGTGAAAACACCATTTTTTTTATTTTATCAAATCTAAATGTATTTTGTACCATAAGCTTAAAAAAATGTAATACTTTTATATGTTATATGGGCCGTACACTTGTTTTGTTCTATGAAATTAATTATTGTAAAGCAATCTATTATGACACTCAGACATTTTTGTCGTCATATAAACCTGATTTTGTTGTAGTGACACTACAACAAAATTGGCTTTATAGGATACTTCCAATTTTTAAGCGTCCTAATAGATCTCTGTATAGGACTTAATTTATAGGACCAAAAAAATAAAGTGTCATATCTAAAGACGTTGTAATAAGTTTATATGACGCTTTTTGACGTCATAATAAGTTTTTTAGGACACTTTTAATATAAAGCGTCTCATTAGCAACTTTATATGACACTATTTGAAAAACTGTCCTATAAAAATAAGTGTCCTATAAAAATAAGTGTCTTATAAAACAATGAGTTTATAGGACGCTTTCTCAAAAATGTCCTATAAAGTTGCTAATGCGACACTTTGTATTCAAAATGTCCTGAAAAACTTGTTAAGACGCCTAAAAGCGTCATATAAGCTTTATATTTTGGTGCTATAAATTAAGTCCTATAAGGCGGTCTATTAGGACGCTTAGAGATTGTGGGTGTCCTATAAACTCAATTTTGTTGTAGTATGACTCGATGTTTTGAATAGGAAAAAACATTGCTATAAGGATATGTACATCATGCATTAAAACTTGTACGTTGAAGTCGAGAATTTACGTACGATTATTTTATTTAATATTCTAATATTAATTTTAATTTTTTTTTTTTTTAAAAGATGGATAGAACATCAATACTTGGAGACACAATAGATTACATGAAGGAGTTGATTGAGAAGATAAATCAAATGCAAGAAGAAATGGATATTTCCTCCAATCAATTAAATTTAATGAATGCAAAGCCTAAGGAAATATTTATCAGAAATTCACCCAAGGTACATATTTCCATTTTTTTTATTTTTTTAATAATAATAATATTATTATTATTTGGAAAATTATTTATGCGTTAATTAATTTGTCGGGTTTTTATTTTAGTTTGACGTGGAGAGGAGAAATACAGATACACACGTACAAGTCTGTTGTACAAGTAAACCCGAGTTGCTGATATCGACAATGACGACGCTTGAAGCACTCGGACTCGAGATTCATCAATGCGTTATCAGTTGTTTCAACGACTTCATGATGCACGCTTCTTGCTCTGAGGTAATTATGTATTCCTTTCGTTTGTTTTCTATCCGTGTATCGGTTAACCGTGGATTTTGTTGTTTTTTTTGAAAGCGCTCGGAAATTATCACTACAACAAAATCATGACACTTGTAGACGTTGTAGCAAGTTTTTTAAAACGTCTTTAAAATAAAATATTTTATTAGCTATTTTATAGGGTAACTTTATAAGGGTCCTACAAATCCATTTTTTTCGGAACTTTTGTGTTTTATAGGGCATTTTATTAAATACGTCGTGTAAAATAGGTAATACAACACTTTATTTTTTAAAAAGATCCTATAAAAATTTGTTACGACATCCAAAAGCGTCTTGTACAGTTATTGTAATACTTTTAGATATGACGCTTTATTTTTTAGTTCTATAAACAGAGTTTTATTGCGGTGAATGTTTAAAAAACAAATTATTTTACAGTCAAAACATTTAATTTCAAGATTTTCTTTTTTGGTATTTAAAAAATACACCAATAATCTTTTTTTGCACTTATTAATTTTTACAAAATATTTATTACATTGATTTAATCAAGAAAATGCATTTACTTGTGAGTATTTAATATATCTGATAAAATTTCCATGTATTAATTAGTAAAATTAAATACCAAAAATACCCTTTATTTTTTGAAAAATAAGAAATATTGTTGTACTTTTTTTAAGACAAAATGCATTTTTTAAATTGATTTTAAATGGTGATTTTAATTTTGAAATACAGGAAATGGAGCAAAGAGTAATTTTAAATTCAGAGGATATAAAACAAGCGTTATTTAGGAACGCAGGATATGGAGGAAAGTGTCTATAAGTATATATCCGACGGTTCATGACCTTTCGCGACGGTCGATTATTTTTATTTTTGGAATTTTGAGATTAAAAAAAAATTCATAAGCTTTAAAATTGTAATTTGAGTGATTATTATTGAGGGGTAGAATTGTAATTTTGTTAGACGGGAGAGGTTGTAGCTTGTTATCTTGTGATTGATTTTTGTCATTTATAATAAAGGTCATCTTCCTTTTCTTTTTTACCCTTTTCCTTTTTGTCATATGCTTTTTGCTACATGTAAATCCAAACCATCTAATCGCAAAATCGGATTGGTTAAAATCGGTTCGATTTCAATGATTTTGATTGAAAAAGATAAGTTGGTCGATACATTTCGTTTTATGTTCTGGTTTGAAAATGAAACGAGGTAGTAGGGTTTTTACTGAAAAGAATGACGGGATCTGAAAACAACGACGATGACTGGTTCTTGTTAAACTGAATCAGAGCAACGGGTAAGTTGTTTCTTTTGTTGATTATCGTTTGTTTCGAACTACGATCAACTTATTTTTATATAAGATAAAAAAAAACATAGAATAATAAGAGAAAAAAAAAAGTATAAAACACAAAAAAAGTCATAGAAAATGCTTTTTGAAAATTAAAATAAAAGAACTAAGCATATTCTAGTAAAAGTGATTTGTACTATTTAAAAAGTTTATATAATATATATATATATATATATATATATATATATATATATATATATATATATATATAGGTAGAGATTCAAACGAGAACACTTTCATTTTACGAGAATGTGAGAACACCCTTATCATATGTGATAATACACGTGAGGGGACCCTATGATGTGCGAACGACGTGTTCTACGACTTAAGCCTCGCCAAAGGTTGTCTGCGTCTATGATTTAGCATCACATGCAATGGTCTTGATGGATTATAATATCATATCAATAACACCCTTATCGCATGTGATAATACTTGTGAGAGGGCTTAATGGTGTAAGAGCGACTTGGCTCGCAACCAAGATCGCATCGAAATCGTTCGTGTCTTTGATTTAGTATCACGTGTGTATCATATGTGATGGAATAATAGTATCACATGTTATTGTCTATAGTAAAAAGGTTTTCTCGCGTTCTCGTAAAATGAAGGTGTTCTCGTTTGAACCCTTCCCTATATATATATATATATATATATATATATATCAAAAAATCAGTTTCATATATTGTTTTGTCGATGAAACAATACAATAAATATGAAAACCAAACGTGTTAAAATCAACTAAAATCATCCAATGATTTTGATTTTAAATTATGATTCGTATTGTTTTATATGTTTTGTTTTTGTGTGAATATGTATAACTTATGCTTTCTCATGTTAGCATTCTCAATCTGATACTTGTTGCAAACCACCGTATAAAAACAAACACAAGTTCTAACATTATTTCATAAAACGTATGCTAATGTAAACTCAAAATACCACATTCCCACCCGTTAATTATACACAGTCAAACCCGTTTCTGACATTTTATAGGTCATAGGCGTATATAAAATTAGGGACCTTCGATAAATACGAAAAAAAAAAAACTCAATAAATGTTTTTTATTAGTAATAAAATTAAATACAAGAAATGCTAATAATTCCTGGAGCAAAGAAATCTTATTTTTTTTCTTTATTATAAATAAGAAAGTATTTAAGATTTACGTACTGCTTATCACGTAATTAGCAACCAAGAGTATAATGTATTAAAAAACAAGGATGGTTTTGAAGTCCTAAAAAAATATGAGTTATGGGCCGTTACTAAACACTTACTTGGTAAGTGCTTACCGGATAAATTTTCTTATCGGAAGAACATGAGAAGGGCCAAGAATCTTACCAGGTAAGAGCAATGAAAAAGATAGAAAGTCTTACCCGGTAAGTATGAATGACGACCCTTACCCATGTAAGCACTTACCCAGTAACTTGTTGCATTCGATATTTTTTGATGTACTAAAATCTTACGTATTAAAATAAATTATAATGTTGAATCCTATCGGTAAGCACTTACCGGGTAAGCATTTAAGTAAACAGCCCCTTAGACCATCTCTTATGATTGGTAAAAAAATTTAAAGGTAATAATTTTCTTAGATTATAGCAAGAAATATGTTCCATTTTGATACAAAAAGAGAATTCATGTAGATGATGTAATCGACAGAGTCGATGAGAGATCAATGATAGATAAGATTATTAAGATTTTCTAGATAAGTAGAGAAATGAGGATCAGTTAAAATATGGAAGAAAAGCTTATTCGTTGAGATCCAATAAGAATAAATAATGAATGAGACCAATAATCTGCAAGTTCAATGAATGATTGTTTGAACAGTTAAATATAATCTTTTGGTGTGTAGTGGAATCCCAATTAAAAACGAAGAAGTCAAATAAATGATGAAAATATTTGAATTTCATTTTCCTTCTTTTCTTTACTAAAATAAGACGTTAGGATTAATACATTCAGTATGTGCAATTTATTGATCAACCATAAAACCATGAAACACGTCATAACTCATAAGAACATCAGATAGATCGTCAAACAATAGTACAATATCATATGTAGAAGCAAAAATAGATAGCAATAGTCAACAATAGCAAACACATGAGCTTAAAGTTGTTATCCTTTGAATTGTAGAAGTACAAAAACAGTCAAGCATATAGAGATAACAATAGCCAATAACATTAGGCTTTGGTACTGGATAATAGATATTAGAGAGACAATAAGCAATAGCATATAACGAATAGCCAATTATGTGTATTTTTTTTATTTTCTTCTCCAATGAAATTAATTAATACATTTTCGGGACCTTATTATCTACTAAATTTTTTTTTGCCTCTTATTATATGCTACAAGTTTTTGGGTCTCTTTAATGTATTATTTTTTTAGATTACTACTATATACTAAGGAAACATTTTGGGCTCCTAATATTTTTGGGCCATGGGCATGCGCTCGTGCCATCCTCCCCCAATGATGACCCTATATACACAGTGGCTACGTAGCTCTAGTCACGCACACTTGTGACTTCACAAACTCGTTATACCTACCAGTCCCTTGCCAAATCTCTTTGTGACACCAAAATGGACCGACATTTGAACCTTAGTTAAAATCATACACAAACTAGTATCTCTGTGTGGTTATAAAATACTCTCTCAAATCTTTTTGGATCACTCAAACGGTATTTCCGGATCCGTCCGTCTCTGGGTCTAAGATCTAATATAAACACTTATAAGTGATCGGCTTGTCCGCATTGAGTTTAAATCCCGACTTAAGTGACCAAGTCTAAGCGTTGGTAAAAATGACAACACTTAGCTAGTCTTAGCTTTGGCTCACACCCACACCTAATGGAGTGTTTAACTCATAATAAAAAGAGAAGACATGGTAGAAAAAGAAGAATACATACAGATTACTTGCATAAAAAAAAGTACAAAGCTGTCAGCACTTCTTTTTCCACTTTGCTGCACAAAACGTTGGAAAAACCGATTTTTGTAGCCTCGGGACTTCATTAAAATGTTGGAACGGATCAGACCAAAGGAAGAGGGAAAAAGGAGAAGTGGGTTAGAAAGTGATGAAGATAAACACGAGAAGATGAGGAATAACTCTAAAAAATCGAGAGTTATCAACCTTCCACAATTTCATCATCTGAATAATCCACTTATCGAAGTCGATCCAATCCCAACACACATTTTTTTTCCTTTCCAAAATGCCTAAATCGAATATAATCAGAATTTCACCGAATCAGCCAATAACCCATGCATTTTCAAAATAACTCCCAGACTTACTTGTTTCACAAGGAACAAACCATGCCAACACAAAAGTATTCCAATTAGCATAATATCGAACACCATATTCTCTTGGAACATTTGCCATACTGATATTAATTTAAATCCAACGGTCTTTCACTGAAGACCAGCAAAACCTTCGATTCTCGTCCCAATATAGCATATAGTTGCCTATAATTCTCGACAACTTAATCTATTTTACTTATCAACCTTGAATACACGTCAAGAGCATCCCAACTGAAACTCATATCACATCACACCTTATTATAACAACCCAATGCCATCGTTTAACACAACGACAAATCTCGATATCATTTCAATAGCTTATTCGTCTTCCTTGGCATACAGTGTCATTTACTTAATAACATAACAAACCACACCATGATATCATATGCGAAAACCATCGTGATACCTATTAAATACTCAGTAGACGTTGCTTTCTTCACACTAATCATAACACTAGTATTAAAATAAGGGAAAATACTTGGTAAACGCCTGACTCGCTTGAGCCACTTTTCTACTCAAAGAAAAGCTTATAAACACAACCCCTTATAACATCACTATCTGAATCATCATATACTTCCCATCAGCTTAAGTCTAAGCTATCAACATTCTAGTTACTTAAACTAAGGGGTCATTTACTTAAACACTTACCCGATAAGTACTTACCGGTAAAATTCAACACTATCGCTTATTTACCGGGCAAGATTTTATTCACTAAGAGTCCTTGTCCTCACTTACCGGGTAAGACTAGAGATTCTTGGTTTCGCTCTTACCGGGTAAGATTCTTAGGGGCTGTTTGGATCATGGGAATTTAGTGGAATTGAAAGGAATTGGAATGTCCAATCCTTCGACTAAATTCCAAATATGATGTTTGGTTCACAGAGTATAGGTGAAGGAATCCTTTCAATTCCTACAAATTCATTCGGTCACTGATTTCACGATTCCACTTGATGTACCAAGGATTTCAAATTCCTTTCCTACGAATTCCTTAGCCCTCATCCAAATTCCAGATATTAGTAATATAAGTGAACAATTTCAAATTTTATCTGATGTTAATAATGTAATGTGGTTTAATGATAATTTTAATTTAAAAAAATATGACAAAAAAAATCATAAAAGATCATTTGTTGATATTTAATTCCGATTCCAAAGTTGAATTCTGTGAACCAAACAAAAAAAATTCCAATTCCGTTAAGAATTCCATTTCAATTCCATGCAACCAAACGCAATCATAAGGCATGGTCAAATTCCATCATATTCCATTCCATTCCCTCAAAGTCAAATTCATTTGATGAATTCCAATTCTATCGAATTCCATTCTACGAACCAAACGCCCCCTTAGTCTTTATCATATTCATCCGGTAAAGTA